TATTATTGGAATCTTTTCACACAGCAAAAGGGCGCCTTCTCCACTCTCCGACAGATTCGTTAGCAATAAATGCATTTTAGTTCAGGTGCGGCCAGTCGTAGTGTTTATGCGCCCTTTCTCACGTGCTTGGAAAGCTCCGTGTGAAATTGGAACCCAGGTGTGGGATACGGACGGTCCCGTTTCATTTCTTAAATCTGCCGAAAGGGAGCTGAGCGCTACACGCCTGTGCCGGAGCGTCACTCCGCGACCGCCGTTTCTAAAATCCACGCATCCTTTAGAAAACTCACGAACGTCGCATTAACTGCGATGGGGCTTCTCTCCTGTTTTTTTTTTACGCGTTTTTTTAAACTTTTCTAGCTGTGCAGAGTTCTAAACATGCCATATATTCCACAGATAACGAATCTGTAATATTGTTTGCAAGTCGTTTTTTTTTGGTGTGTCTACCGTAAGTAAATCGTTTTGCTTAATTTGTTCCCGAACTCAAAGCGACACTACGCCTGTTTGCACAAGACAAATATGTATATTTTCTTTCCTCCACCACTTCAAATTTTCAGAGAGAGAGACGGTCTCGGTACCCGATCTGCTGGTGATCAGACCATCCGGAACTGAACTGCCGTCCCGGTGGGACCTGTTTACCTGCTGAGCCAATTCAAGCGCGCAGTCAGTGGTCCGATTACCAGCAGATGGACTGGGCTAAGAGTCTCGCACTCAAAAGCGAGGGGAAGCCGAGTTCACAGCCGGATGCTCACCAGGTCTTCAGCGGAGTACCCCCGGGGGCCGTACTCCTCCTCCTCCCGCGGAGAGAGAGCGCCGTCGGCAGGCATCTGAGCGTGGCCGGCGACCGCGAGCACCGACAGACAGACGCCCAGGTACAGCGCCGACCTCACCTTAAAGCTGCCGCTGTCCATGGTGCTGTCACCCTCGGCGGAAACGATTTCTACGAGCTTCTCAGTCCAATCTGCCCCCCTCCCCGTCCTAACTGGAGTACCTCAGCGCTTCCTGCCCCCCGAGCGTCGGAGTTCAGCGTAGCCTTCTTCTGTTCCCGGCGCTGCAGTCTCTGCCCTCTCTAGTTCAGCCGCGCTGTTTCCAGTGTTGCCTGGGAACTTTATTTATACCCGGCGGGCGAGCGGCTCCCTCTCTCCGGCTGCCTCACGTCATCGCTCGTCTCCTCCGACACAGACCTTGTTTTTCTGGAAGTTACACCTGGGACCGAGGGGGTATGGATTTCACAATGAATACTGATTAAAACGCCGACCTCAGCCAAGTCGTTACAGCTCGGGGAGAGGGGGGGGGCTGTCGACGAGTTAGTGGAAAGAACACGAGCCTTTTCGGGCTCCGGGGATTCGGAAGGGTTGAAGTGGATCGTTTTCTCAATCTGGGAGACCTCCTTATCTTTACAATATAAATTCATGTTGACGCCGATCGCAATACATTCCCGCATTCAAGCACGTGTAACGCGACCTTACTCAAATAATAGGGATGG